AGGTAGGGAGTCCTTTAATTATTTGAATTGGCTGACCGCTTTCTTCAATTTCAATGCAGTCTTGATCGCCGCTTACTCAGGAGGAGTCATTTTAATTAATCAAGTCTAATAAACATGAAAACTAACCAGTAAGAAGAAAGAAGAAAAAACGATAAAATCCAATAAAAAAGCAAGCTAATCAAGGAAAAATATCGCGTCCTATCGATCGGCGGGAGGCGAGGTGAGTACGGTAACTGCAGTGACATTTGCCGCAAGCCGCAAGGGAGAATGCCGCGATAGGGGAGAAGTTCCGTTACCCTGCAAAGAACAGAGGGTACATACATATAATATTATTTGTATATTAGGTCACATTATGACTGGATGAAGGGGGAGGCCGGAACAGTCGGCCAGAGCCAAGGCGATGGGCGCTCCACACAGAGCTAGACGCTCGAGATGTGTAGTGGCCAAGTTGCCGGTCTCCGACTCGCTTTATAGTGGCTCTGTGTAACGTCCGTGGACAGGTGGTCTCGTCCTGGTGGCGGTCGGGTAACGAGGAGTAATCTCCTCTTTGAGTCTTAGGTTGCATTGAGGATGTAGAGGATGTAGGGTAAAGCAATTAATGCTAACACTTAATACAGATATTAGACACCGTACATTGGGACTGGTCTTTGCTTTTGAGGTGCGAGCCTTGAAATCGTTTTTGCAGCATACGTATTGGCGATCGCCTTCTCTCTAGAGATGAAACAGCTAGCCTACTGAAAAAACTTGCAGAACTGAAAAACGAAGAAAATATGCGTGAGTGCAGTTTGGCTTTTTACATTGTGCCCAAAAATTATGAGGGCCAAAATTGGGAAACTTCAAAGACGGAAATGATTTATTAATTTTACTTCATTCGCTATCCGATAGTAGCACAAGCAAGTTTACTTGCAAAATGCCTAGTTTCTATTGTAAGACTCTCAGTATCTTTTAGATGGTAAAGACTCACCTAATGGGGTGTCACCGACTCACGCGTGGAGGTCATGAGGTCACCTAGGGTGCGCTTCGTTGCGCGCTTCAGTCGAAACTAGGTCATGCCGGGGCCGTCGCATGCGGTGGATCAGCCTGCGATACTTGACGGACGTCGCGGTTGTCAGTGAGGCACACGACTTGCGCTTGGTCAACGGCAGTCAGCAAAGAGAAAACATTATGGACTAATGCAAATCATTCGCTGCACACTTGGTGGCACTGTAACGTAATCTCGAGACCCCAGTGGGCTGCGCCGCGCGCCAAGTGGGCGGATGAATTAGTTTTGACGGACGCGCGGAACGAATATTCCCCAGGTCACTTCGCGTGAAGGGCGGGGTCTGCGGTGACGCAGTGCTTCGGACGAGACGTGCTATAAGACCATGCCTAGATGTCCACTACTTCGACGTATTAAATGAGCCGATGCCGCACTTGGGCGAATTTTCCGATTCTCGGCCCTAGCCTGTTGTACAAGGCGTCATCGTTTACAAACCGTGCTGCCTCGTCTCCTGTGAATCCACACTTTGCGTCCCCCAGCGTTTTCTCAGTGTAGGAGGTATATGTGGTTGGTAACAGTTCGATTACCGCTAACAATAATCTTTGCTTTGAGTTTCTTTATGGAATTCGAGGATTCATGCTCCTTCCCCCTTCCGCGCCGAAATTTAGAATAGTCCTTGCCATCCTTTTATGAAGGACTATGTATGCATGTCATAGAAACTATGAC